TCTTTCAGACGAATCCAGTCGGAGTTATATTAAAAATTGTCTTTGATCTTTCAAGCTCTATCATTGCAGTCAGCGGGTGTTGCATTGCTTCAGTCCAAAAGAAGTTAAATAAAAAGCGCCCATGCATTAAAAAAAGTGTCTGAAATCTGACCTCATACGTCATTCCCCCAGAACTGCTTCCGTTTTTAACAGTGAGCGCAAGCTAGATTCAAGTGATTATTACGTTCTGAATATGGATATTTTTCTTACAAAAATGCATCGAATCGCTAGAGGAGGCCTTTGTTCACCCCCCGGAGCCGTGTGAGACACTTTGTTTTATGCATGGGCGCTTTTTATTTAACTTCTTTTGGACTGAAGCAATGCAACACCCGCTGACTGCAATGATAGAGCTTGAAAGATCAAAGACAATTTTTAATATAACTCCGACTGGATTCGTCTGAAAGAAGAAAGTCATATACACCTAGGATGGCTCAGGGGTGAGTAAAACGCAGCCTAATTTTCATTTTTGGGTGAACTAACCCTTTAAAGGAATAGTTTACTCAAAAAAAAAAAAAAAACTACATGACTTTAATTGTAATGGTAGGGTCAAATGAAAGTGAGATGAGGTGGTGGAAATAAGGTTTACTGATCCCAAAGAATAAAATAAACATGGGCAAATCAGGAAAAACACAGAAGAGTAGCAGATCAGGAAATATGGACCACAAGAATCTACAGCATACAATGACTGACAATGAGCAAGACAAACACAGGAGTATATGTACAGAGGATAACGAGGTTAACAAGGGGGTGGAGCTAATGAATTGTCATGGTAACTGAGGCCACGTTCACACAGCAGCAGAATATGTTGTCAGTCCTGTCTTTGACTCCTTAATATGGTTACGTTCACACACAGTTCGGTTATTTACGGGTGTGACAACGCATTCTGTAACCGAACTCACACCCCTAAATTTTCAGGACTTACAACCGCATTCTCAGAACACACGCGCTATGTGAACGGAACAGGAATGGACAACTAGCTGTCTGTCACGTCATACAGTGCGAGAGAAAGTCGCTCTGCCGCACAAACGTGTGCGTAACGTGTTTTATGTGTAACTTACAGCGATGGAGAAATGAGCTGCGTTTCATCTGAACGATTTAGAGCCCGCCTTCCCGTCAGTTTTGTGTTCTGCGCGCGATTCAAATACTCCGCTCTCCACCCAAATTTAAAAGCTGCTGTTGGTTAATGAAGATTTGACGAAAGAATTCGCGGCTCGATTGGACTCTTGTCGTGTCGGAAAGTGATAATACTTTCAGTTTTATGGACATCGCAAACTTGATTTTACATTGGTCACTGTCGCTATGGTTACTGGTAAGGAATACGGGCTTGACTCCTGTTGCACGTTCATACAGACAATATTCTAAACACAACTGTAAGCTGCTGTGTGAACGGGACATTTCGAGACTCACACATGTAAAGAAAATATTAATCACTCATAATTTTCTCTTCCAGTGAGCTATTAACCACTGCAATCATCTGCATCACTGAGCAGGTGATCCTGAGAACCAGATTAGCCTGATATTTGAATCAGGGGCAATTCTAGGATTTTCATTTTAGGGGGGCTCAGCCCCCAGTGTGTCACACCCCTGTGGACTGTCTATTATGGTTTCTCCCTCTGTGTCCTTATTTGGTTGTTCCTGTTCTCATTATGAGTTAATCACTTCATTGTGCTCACCTGTCCGCCCCTCGTTATCCACCCTATATCAGTTCCTGTCCATTGTGTTCCAGTTTTAGTGAATGTTACCCTGTGCGTGTGCTCCTACCCTCTTGTGAAGTTATTAAAGGTTTCTTGTATCCTTCATCCTCTGTGACTAGAGCCGGCTCCTCCAGAGCGACCCCCAGGATTCCTAGATTTCCCCAAGAAGATTTTGGGGGGGGAGGGCCATACCCCCGGGGCCGAGCCAGCCAAGGCCACGGAGGATCCACCATGGCCTCCCGAGTCCCCTGCTCCGCCGCGGCCTCCAGAGGTCCCTGCTCCGCCACGGCCTCCCGAAGTCCCTGATCCGCCGTGGCCTCCCGAGGTCCCTGATCCACCATGGCCTCCCGAGTCCCCTGCTCCGCCGTGGCCTCCCAGGTCCCCTGCTCCGCCATGGCCTCCCGAGGTTCCTGATCCGCCGTGGCCTCCCGAGGTCCCTGATCCACCGTGGCCTTCCAAGGCCCCTGATCCACTGTGGGCCCCTGAGGTCCCTGATCCACCGTGGCCCCCCGAGTATCCGGCTCTGCCATGTCCTCCCAAGTATCCTGCTCCGCCGCGGCCTCCCGAGGTCCCTGCTCTGCCATGGCCTCACGAGTATCCTGCTCCGCCATGGCCTCCCGTGTCCTCTGCTCCGCCATGGTTCCCGGATCCACCCTGGAGGCTCTCCGTGGCTCCGCCCCATTTCCAGTCCTGCACCAGCCTCCAGGGCGCCCACCCCCCTCCCCGATTATACGATTATGGCGCGGGTCGTGCCTTCCAGGAGGGGGGCGATCTGTCACACCCCTGTGGACTGTCTATTATGGTTTCTCCCTCTGTGTCCTTATTTGGTTGTTCCTGTTCTCATTATGAGTTAATCACTTCATTGTGCTCACCTGTCCGCCCCTCGTTATCCACCCTATATCAGTTCCTGTTCATTGTGTTCCAGTTTGTCAGTTATTGTGAATGTTACCCTGTGCATGTGCTCCTACCCTCTTGTGAAGTTATTAAAGGTTTCTTGTATCTTTCATCCTCGTCGTCCTGCAACAAGAAACCTCTGGCACAGCAACACCGTGACACAGTGAGGGTATTATAATAGTAATAATAGCCTAATAATAATAAAAACAATATATATACTGTATATATTATAAATAAAATGAAAAATGTTTGATTAATAGGGGTCGTATACTAAACTTATTGCAGTATTCCACTGTATTGCATAGATAGGTATAACATTTGAGTAGCCTAATGAATAAGCCAAATTCAAGTCTTCATGATCTCACACACACAACCTGTTTAGGCTACTGTACAAACACAACATTTGACTGTTTGCATTTCTAGTACAATCCTCTTTCCTTAGCTCAAGTATGCAAACCTCTTTGCCACATGCACTGGAATATGTATTATATTGAAAGTTAAATTTTCTAATGAAAATGGCAACATGATCGTTTTATAAAGTATGCCTTCATATGTGCTTCACTTTCGCTGGAGGAAACAGCTGTGGTGTGATGAGGGGTGAACGCAGTGAAAACTTAGGCTACAGTAGATAGGGAACCGATTATTGCTCCCCCATGATATTTTGTAAACTGGATTTATGACAAAGAACTGCACAGATGCAGATATTATAACCAGGGCCGTCCTTAGGGGGTGCAACTGGTGCGGTCGAGTCTTGAGCCTTTTTTTAAGGTGCTTAAGTGATTGAATAATTATAAAAAATTGTAGATTATATTTACTACAAGGTTCTATATCCAAGCCTCACATCAGTGTGGAGTAACCAGATTTATTATAGGGATACACCAATATAATTTTTTTAAAGACGAGTACTGATATTTCTTTTTTTTTTCTGGTACTTTGATACCAAGTGTGACACACAAGTAAACTAAGTAATTTTATGTCGTTTTTATCACACTGATGTAAGTTCAAGTGTTTGTTTCTTAAATAAGTTTGGTTTTAGTTAGTTATGTGATGCTATAAAAATGGGAATGTGACGTCATGATTGACAGCTGAGATTGACAGCTTCTCTAGGCGAACGGTTATGCCAACAAACTTTTTCGGGGTCTTCATGAGGAATTTGGAGTTGTATTTACCTTATGTTTACACAAGCCTCTTGTACGGCAATCAGCAGACAAATATTGGAGCAGTCAGGCTAATTAAAAAATGGTCAGGGGCGTGTGCTTAGGATCAAATCTGCGGGAGTGTGGGGGGCTCCACTTCGCTCACTACTGCGCAGACTCGGGTCTCAAATCAGCGCAACATTGGCGGCTTCACTCTTCTTCAATGGAAAATGGCGTCATCCATCTTTTTTACAGTCTATGGCTGATACAGATACATGTACAGTGCCTGGCGAAAGTATTCATCACCCTTCATTTTTTTCACGTTTTGTTATGTTTCTGCCTTATGTTAAACTGCTTTAAATTACTTTTTTCCCACATCAATCTACACGCCATACAGACAAAGCAAAACAGAATTGTCAAAACTTCGTAAATGTATTAAAAATAAAAAAACTGAAATAAGCACATTGCATAAGTATTCATATCCTTAACTAAATATTTAGCTGAAGCACCTTTACGGTCTCAAGTCTTTTTTGTTTGATGCGACAAGCTTTTCTCATCATCATTTGGCAATTATCTGCCATTCTACACCTCGCCTCTTCACCTCTCAAGCTCTGTCAGCTTGGATGGGGGCAGATGCACATTTTCAGGTTTTTCCAGAAATATTTGACTGGGTTCAAGCTCAGGCTCTGGTTGGGCCACTCAAGGACATTCACAGAGTTGTCTATAATTGACTCTTTCTGTGTGCTTAGGGTCATTGTCCTGTTGGAAGGCGAACCTTCTGCTTAGTCTGAGGTTCTGAATGCTCTGGACTGGGTTTTCATTAAGGCTATCTCAATATTTTGGTGCATTGAGCTTTTCTTCTACTCTGACGAGTCCCTCAGTCCCTGCCACTGAAAAACAGCCCCACAGCATGAGGCTGCTACCAGCACACTTTATTTTTGGGATGGTACTCTGCAGGTGATGAGCAGTGCCTGGTTTCCTTCAAACATGATGCTTGGAATTGAGATTCACCAGACCAGATAATATCGTTTCTCACAGTCTGAGGGTTATTTAGGTGCTTTTTTCAAATTCCAAGTGTGTTTTCATGTGTCTACACTGAAGAGAGGATTGAGTCTTGCCACACTGCCATAAAGCACAGATCGGTGGAGTGTTGCAGTGATGTTTGTCCTTCTGTAGATTTCTCCCATCTGCATATATGATCATGGAGCTCAACTAGACTGAGAAAGGGGAATCTTACGGAGCTGTAGAGGAAGCCCTCCGCATTCATGCCGATGTAGAAACCTGCTTTGACTCCCTGAATGGCCACCACCCTTAAGCCGACAGGGATGAGGTTGAAAAGAGCTAGAGAAAAACAAGGAGGAAACATTACATAACAATAGGATTGGCACTGCAATAACCACACTTGGAAAATGGATAAACTATTAACTAACCTAACATTTCTGATAGAAACAATGGGATCTAAATAAAATGTGTTAATTGGGTTAATGAGTAATGGTGAAGGTAAAAGGCTGTCGTCTATTCAAGGAGAATATAAAGGTAAAATTCATAATTGTCCATTAATACATCCATATTAATACACCTACAACATATACCACTGAAGTATGACTTCTACTAAAGTGGTCCAACAAGTTTGTCCAACAAGTTATGTCAAGAGGTAAGATGAACGATTTGCAACTTAAACAAAAATACACTATTCCATTTCAAAGTCCACCATAAACTAGCTAAGGAAATGTTTAATATTCAACATTTTTGAAAGCGTTAAAACCATATTCAACCATTTTGGTTTTTCACTTGATAAGGAAAAAAAAAGTTAGACTGGACAAACCAAAATATTATTAGCACACATTCCCAGGGGCGTAAATTTCATCTCACAGTAGGGGGGACAATAAACATAAAATTTCTCATGAGCACATTTTTGAAGGGGACACAAGTAATACAGCTAAAATTGTACTTGTAAGGATATGTATACACAGCCTTACTACTATTAGTGCAGCAGGGAGACCGTGCCAAATTAGACAATTTCAAGCTGCTGTGGTCACGCCGCGACAGCAGTTGTGTCCGTTGTTGACATTAGGGGTCTCCAACCTTATTTCATTCAGGAGCTACTTTTTAAAATGTAAGCGGCTGAGAGCTACCAATGTTGTACAATACTTCTCTTAACCCTTTGGTGCCGGCGGGACACCACCTACACGAAAAAATTAAAAAACAAATTAGTAAGCAACCCTTGAATGGAATAACACAAATTAGGTATCATTTTAAAGCGTAGAATCTCAGCTTTTTAATGAATGTAATTATTTAATAATTAAGATCAACTCTTAACGAGCGCTAAGCAGTCCCTCTAAACTGCAGTGTACCGCAGGCGGGACCCCCCCCCCCCCCCCCCCAATGACAATATTACTAATCATATTTTTCAAACCACTGCCTTGAAAAATTGATAATATTTGAAAGCTCAGAGTATGAGCTTTACAATGCATGTAACCGCTCTGATTAACTTCAAAGTAGTGCCGAGTTATTTGCTGATAAATTACAAAAAAAATTAATAATTTACAAAATATGTTTTTTTTGTGCCATGTACTTGTCACGGTCACCAGTTCTGTCAGCTAGTCTGAACTTCATTTCCCATCATCCCTCCTGCTGCTCACCTGCTCATTGTCACCAATCATCTAATCATGATCACCAGCTGTCTCTGATTCCACCTGCACTGGTTAAAAGGACTCACCACACACACAGTTTGTCTAATCTCATCTAAGACCTTCCAGATATTTGCCTTGGATTGTTACTTACCTGAAGTCTACTTACCTGTTGTTCGTTTGCACCCCCACGTCTCCTATCGCCTCTCTCCAGTGTCCAGTTCCTTATCCCCAGTCATCAGCTCTGTGTCTCCATCTCCAAGTGTGGTGTGCTCTTCCTACAAGAAAGGAAAGTGTTTACCTCTTTATCAAGTCTTGTAAACGTGTGTGTGTGTGTGTGTGTGTGTGTGTGGCTCCTCAACTGTGTCATCTCCCTCCTGCTCCATCTGCTATGTGTATCTGATCACCTATTGCCTTATCGATGCTGTTGCATTAAATAAAGCCTGTTTGGAAAGTTATTCATCTTTCTCTGGTCCGTGTACCCGTGACTGAAGACTAGACCACAACAGCATTATGAGCTCCATTGATCCTGCCATAACCCAAGATGTCCGCCCAATCAAGTTTTATGTTGATGAGTTCCTCTCTCGCCCACCAGGTTCCTTGGAAGGATGGTACATTAATGTCAGTGTCCTGGAGTGGTCTGGATGATCCACTCTTCCTCCAAGCACCAGCAGTGACAAACCCCGGTACTCTGGCACAATATATAGATCATGTGCTATTGCTAGATGGTTCATTCTTCACAGTGGGTGAGGATGTTGATGATGGTGCCGGTGTAACTCAGTTGCTGATGCCCCAACCCCCTCCAGTTCTCCTAGTACCATCAGTTTATTTTTCCGAGCCCACTTCAGTCCCAAATGAATATCCCAGTGGGTGAAATCTCAGTTCCAGAGTCTCGTCTAGCCGTGACCGTCATTCCAGAGTCCCATTCCGAATTGGCTGCCGCACTTGTGCCCTTGGGAGTACTGATGGAATATGAGGGGATGTCTTGGAGCCCAGAACTGACTCCAGTCCCCAAATTCAGCCCAGACTTTGCTCCTGTCCCCGAACTCCGTCCAGAGTTGACTTCTACTCCTGAGTACAGTCCAATAAAGGCTCCAGAGAGTCAGCCCTCCCTCCAGAGAGTCAGGCCAGGAGCCCACTCAAGTAGCAGAGCTCGGCCAGGAGCCCACCTCTCCGCTGGTCTAGTCCAGCCCTCCTTCGTCTCCTTCACCCTGTTCCTGTCCTGCACCAGCCTCCAGGGCTGTTTGAGCTTGTTTGCATGCCCAAGATCTCCAGCGTCCAGTTCCTTATCCCCAGTCATCAGCTCTGTCTCTCCATCTCCAAGTGTCGTGTGCTCTTCCTACAGGAAAGGAAAGTTTACTTTATCAAGTCCTTTAAGTGTGTGTGTGGCTCCTCACCTGTCTGATCTCCCTCCTGCTCCAT